TTTACCGCTGAGAAAAAGATACATGACTGGCGATGTACCCTATTCAGACAGCTTGTCTAGCGAAAATTAAGTACCAAATAAAAGGATATATCGTCAGTTTGAAGAAGTTTCTCAAAGTACCCAAATTAAATTGATGGTTTATCTTTGAAAACTAAGCAGTCATTGCTTAAATCATGTGGTGGGATCATCAGCAAGCTTGAAAAATACCGCGGCGTCTTCAATTAATTAATTAAAGCAATTCAGTTCCATATGATGTTTTCATAAATAATAAATAATGTGCGCAATAAAATTAATAAGTTCTTCGTCAAGATATATTTCAGTTGTACCAGCGTGTACACCTATACCGGAAGTGGGTATAACACGTCACAATCTCGGTCTCGTCTGTCTCGCGAGAATGACAGAACGCCAAAATGGCGGCGCCCATGAACTTATTTCTCAAGTAAAAAATAGTGTCTTAAAACACGAATTTCTCACTTAGAAGGTTGATGTCAACAAAAAAACTGTCATGGTACCTCTTTTTTAATGATGAATATTTATATTAGACAGACATCAATCCATCCATTCCTATTCCTTTAATAAAATTTAGGACCGGCAACCATCATTTTCCTATAGAAACTGGAAGATGGAATGGAATAGATTTACCAGACAGAAAGTGCTTGCACTGTGACTTAAATGACATAGGCGATGAATATCATTATTTGTTAAAATGCCCGTTCTTTGAGCAAAACAGAAAAAACTTAATCAAACTGTATGACTATAGAAGACCAAACATGCTAAAAGAATTATTGACAGATACCTTCATAAATATGCTGCAAAGAACATGTAAATTTATAAGAATACTTCTAAATGAAATTAAGTAAATTAAAATTACATCTAAAAATAATAAATATATAAACAAACAAATAAATAGATATAAAAAAGGTAAAAATCAATAACTTAGATACTGAGTACATTCCTAGTATTGTAAGGCACAGAATAAATAAATAAATGGCAAAATAAGCAGATATAACAATATAACATTTTTAATTTTTTTAAGAAGCGTTCAAATTTGTGCTTCATCCATGTTTCAACATTTATTAAATATATAAACATGATAGTAGAGTCCAATGTTTAGTACAAAGTATTATGCATGTACACCATGTGTGTACAGTACTGTAATCTGTATACATTATAATATTTATACATGTATAGGCCTATATCAGTATATGTACAGTATGCACAGGTCTAATTTCTTATTCGTTTTTGTTTTGTTTTATTGTTTTCCTAAGTCGGTTTTATCATTGGAATACATGCAATCAAGCCAAGATTTGAAATACTGCTTACTTTGCAAAATGAGCTTTCTCACCTTGCTCGAAACACGTGCTAAGTAAATTCATTCCTACTTCAAAAATGTTCCATTGAATAACAATATTTTTGTTCACCTCCACCTTCCATCGTTAATTTAATTATTATTGAACTTTTAATACTATGTACAGTAGATATTTAACTGTACACTGTCATTCAATTTTAACTTCCATTTTGTGTATTGATTGACCTAAATTGTGCACATCGGGACATCGCGACAGGGCCCGTATGCAAACAATGACGTATTATTTACCGCCTTCGCATTTCTACTGGCATACATACATAATATTTTGAGGAATTCGTGAAGCCAATAATTGTTCTGTGAAATAGTGTACCATTCTTGGATAAGAGTCTGACGTAACTGTTGAGCACAGTTCGGTGGTGGTTTGAAATGCATACACGTGAGTTTTGAGCGTTGCCTATATGTTCCCTATTGGTGCCTGTTATGGCGAGAAAGATGGACTTCAGTGTAAGGCATTAACATTATGGTTGCCATAGTGTTGTGCTGTTCCTGTTAGGTGTCACGGCAAGGTGGATTAGACTAGTAATAGTTTACATTTATAAATAATAGTTTAGTTAGTAAAATAAATTCGTGACTAAATTTTAAAAAAAGATGTGTTCCTAACCGTTGCGTTTCGTACGCGACTCGGTGTATAGTGTTTGGCATATTAATGATTATATTACTAGTAATAAAAAAAAGATGTTTTCCACTACCTTTCAATGTTTATTAGCAAAAAGCATGTTAAATGTCTAAATTTTAAAAAAAAATTGTTGTTGTTGTTGTTGTTACTAATTTTTATATTGTATCATAGTTTGGGGACCTTTCTGTTGAAAAAGTGTCAGAGTTAAATCGCACATTACGGTAACTGGAGTGCAGGTATCAGTTACCCGCACTCCAGATAATGCCCGTGGATTGGTTCATTTTTGCCGTGGTTTACATATTGTGACGGCAGAGAAAGGGAAAGGGGCAGAACTATCATATTCAAATGCTCGTTCATTGGTTAATTTTTTCTTGGGTTTCATATTATGACAACAGGGAACGTGCTGTCATGTTTGACTATGATACAAAAGAGAAAGAACACCAAAACACTCGACAATCTGATTTATACTCGGGGGCTACGCCCCCACGTACAAATCAGATAGCCTCGTGTTTCGGTGCTCTTTTCTATTACTTAATTTATTTTTATTTGTGATATATGGCGACCAGTCAGCCACTTATGCAGAATCTACATTCAATAATGCATATTGTATCATAGTTTGGAGACCTTTCTGTTGAAAATGTGTCAGGGTTAAATCGTATACATGTACTCGTACATGCACAGTGCGTTAACTGGAGTGCGGGTATTAGTTACCCGCACTCCAGAACATGCCCATTGATTGGCTCATTTTTGCTGGGGTTTACATATTGTGACGGCAGAGAAAGGGAAAGCGACAGAAATGTCATATTCAGATGTTCGTTCATTGGTTCATTTTTGCCGGGGTTTCATATTGTGACAACAGGGAACGTGCTTTTATGTTTGACTATGGTACAAAAGAGAAAGAACACCAAAACACTCGGCAATCTGATTAATACTCGGGGGCTACGCCCCCTCGTACAAATCAGATAGCCTCGTGTTTCGGTGCTCTTTCTATTACATGTAAATGGCAAGACAAGTTCTATAGCTACTATAGTCAATCAACAATTTGCGTTAACAATGTATTAGTAATGTTTAAGTTGTTAATAAATGCATGCACTAATATGATGTTTTCGTTTTTTTAAGAGCAAAGTATATTTACATAGCTAAATTTCTTACAATTGAGATATTACTGTATGGTATTAATACATCAGATGTATGCGATGAAGATGCTACATAGAACTTTTCATTTAAATATTTTAACGCAAACAAGTATAAAATGGACAAATAATTTTTACCATGTTTTGACAATACATACAAATTCTCTCTTCTCATGAAAATTTCAGATGTCGCACCTTTTCATTCATAAAATTATGTGAAAATGTGTTAAAAGCAAGTATGGCCTTTCGTAATTTATATTTATCAATGTAATCTAAATATGGTCCAAAGCTAATTTCTGTTTAAATGTATGGTAAAAAGTTTACTTATATCCTGAAACTTGATAAGATTTTAACGATCCATATATGTAAAGTGTTGAGAATTAACAAACAAATAAACAAACGAAAAAACCTTACATTACCAAACCAAATTGGTATAGATGTAATCTAATCTTTGTAGCCCAAGGCAATTGAATAATACAAGCAACTGATAAGATGTTTTGTCAAAACGATTATTTGGCATAAGTATTCGTAACCAATATTTTACAGCCCTTTTAGTAGTAACACAGTACATGCTATGGCATCCACAGTCACCAAAGCCCACTGCGCCACATGCCTTGATCGAAGCATTTCCTAAAACAATTGCACGCATATAAATGTACTCGCTTAACTGAGTCCTGTTTTTCAAGTCCCCAAATTTAGCCCGATGCAATGATATTGGAGCAATTTAAGTATAAAACATATTGAACCAGAGCAAGGAAAATAACTGATAACTGCTTTTAATAGAGAAATTAGTATTATAATTGCTTTAACAGATGTACTTACAGTCATTTTGTGCAAGGACAACCTGCATATAAAGTATAATCAAACATAATTAAAACCATCTACAACCTCAGGAGGGACAACCTTTTAACTTCCGTAATATCTCTACCATTTTAAACACAATTGCATGTGTTTGGTTTGTCTATTCTGGTATCAATATTGATATTTAATCCCCAAAAATTGCGAAGTTCTTGAAAAATAATAAGTTTACTTTGCAGACCATGAACTGTATCTGATCAGCTTTTAATTTCTATTAGAAACACAATTCTTCGTTGTTTCAAACTAAGTATTTCAGTAAATTTGAATTGGAAAGGTGCATCATATTACTGTTTTACCTTCTTCGAATAGATATTTATAATGTGCCAATTACGTTCTTTTTTAAAAAGTAGAAGATCGGTATTTACTAATCGGACCTGTATATTAGAGTTATCGAGGTGTTTATGTATTTCCTTGTCCGTAAATTTCATTTTGCACCGCACCTTAATGATTTGATAATTATTTGAAACAATTTATCTGAAAATAGCATATTTAACCTTTAGAAAAGCTGAAGGCCGCTTTAAGGTTATATCACCAGGAAACAATAATATCAAAATTTCATATGCATGTCTGAATGAATTTCTGCAGCAAACAAAGTATTAAAATGATCAAACCAGACATTAGTAATTATGGAGTGTTTAATATTCATGTGGTTTTGTCCAGATTAGTTTGTGGTTCTGTTATATGAGATGTGTTTACTTCTGCATACTTTAATAAATTCCTAACGTCTAAATATGTTTGAAGGTCACCCTGTTTTCTAGTATTTCAAAACAGTTTTAACTTATTTATTATTCTTGAATTGTTTTAGAAATGTTAAAAATGCTTACATCCGTGGATAAATCATATAGATTTGTTGTCATTAACATATTTTTTAGATTGCATACTCTTTTAAAAAGGACTACTTGATTGGAGTAAAATCAACATTACCTGTGGTTACTTTACATTTACATTCACTTTCAGCATTAAATTGACATTTTCACTGACAACATTTAGATATATTTCTGAATTTGGACTGCTCCAGTCGCATCTATAAACAAATTCCGTGTTTTAATATTGTGGGAGTGTTTTGAGATTTTGTGGCCTGACTAAAGGAGGGACTGGAGGTAATGGCCTGGTCTTTATTAGTAAATGAGCATTGGCCGGCGTAGTGGGCCCCCCTACAGAATCCACAGACATGAGGCCTGGAGCATCGGGGTTCCCGACATAAACCTCGTCTGTTGAAGGTCCAGCAGGTATTTTCAAGGAATTTAGAGGGTTTCCTGTAACTATAACCCGATTTGAATTGCCTACTGGACCCTGTACGAAAGGGCCGATTACTCTGAAATGACCCATTATGATGGGGTGCCAGTTGAGAGGTTGCCATGACCCAGAATTCTGTGTGAATCCTGTCCCATGGCATTAGCTCCCGTTCCCGAAACATGCGAAATTGGTTGTCATAGAATGACCATCCCATACCTTGACGACGACGGGCCAAATCTCTCACTATTTCCCCATATTTCATTAATTGAGGCATTTCATGGGGAAAAGTTGCAGCATAAATGGCTGAAAACCTTAAAAAGGCTGTTGTCCATGTTTCAATGGACTGGATTTTTCTGGAAGATGAATTAGGTACCAAACTTAAATGGTTATTAGCATTTAATGTTAAAGAATAATTTTCAGCTTGGGGCAAGGCCATGTTTGGCAAAAGGCGAGAGAAGTCAACAAACTTGTTAGTTTGGATTTTTTTAATGACCGACTTTGGTATGGAATGCGAAATGGGGGTGGAGACTGGTTCGACAAATTGTGTCATTCCTAGAGCATTACCTGTAATGTTATTTGAATGGGACGATATTATGTCCCTGAAATTCATAATGCCTTCGTCATAATCACTCTCTTCCTCGTCTGAGGATGTTGACTTTTCTGAGGTCGAGGTTTCTTCATCCTCCGATACCTGCAGGACTTGAATGTCATTTTCCTCTTGATTGAAACTAGAAGATGGCGACTGATGAGGGACTGTACCCCTTTTCCTCTTCTGGTGTAATCTGTTTACAGCCTGTTTGTTTGTATGAGTTATATCACCTCCCCCTGCTAGGTGGGCAGCTTGCTGTGATGAGCTTTGACTAGATTTTTTACCCCTGTGTGACTTTTGATCATTTTTGGTCTTTTTCCGACGAGTTTGCCCATTGTCTTCCAAATGAGCCGTCGTCCGACTCTGTACATCATCTTTATTACTATTAGAACAGCATGGCATATTACAATGGCTCACTGTGGCCGAACGTTTATTGCGTTTCATCTGAAAGAAAAAAGCCAGAGTAAACCAACACTATTTTTCTGGTTATATCCTGTACAAATATTATTTTTCATCAGACAAACAAAATAATAAATAAAATCAAATAATCTGGAACATCAGACATAGTCTGGAAACAGTATAATACTGCGTCATCAGAAAAAATTCTGGAAACAATAGATAAATATAAATACATCAGAACATAGTCTGGAACATCAGAACATAGTCTGGAGAATCATTACTAAATGTTGTAGCCCCAGAATAAAATCTGGAACATAAAAACATAGTCTGGAACATCAGAACGTAGTCTGGAACATCAGAACGTAGTCTGGAACATCAGAACATAGTCTGGAACATCAGAACATAGTCTGGAACATCAGAACATAGTCTGGAAATTGATATATAAGCATGGTAACATCAGAACATAGTCTGGAACTTCACAGTCTAGACTGGAAAATCGAACATGTTATTTCCGGAAATTAATTGACTGCCCTTCCTTGTCGAGACGTGGTAATTGTTTAATAATTTACTAATTGAGACCTTACAGACTGGTTAAGAAGTGCTTCAGATGAAAACCTTCAGAAAGTTGTACTCTGATTTAGAAGGCCGTGAGTAAATATAATATAATGGCTAAAAGTATATTTGGCTAAAAGCCAAAAAAAAAAATTAAATTGAGCTTGAAAAGCAAATGCTGAAACAGCAACCCAAAACTGACCTTTAGGTAAAAGGCCTATTTTTGTATTATACACATTATAATATATATCTAATATGTTAACAAGCTTGACCTTGAATTGAGTACTAAATATTGATGCGGTTAAATTTGTTAAGTGTTCAAAACTTGTACATATTAGAACATTTTTCCCGGATATGAACATATCCAGATATACACAAGTTTATACAATAATACTGTATGTAAATGGAAAATGACTACCCAAAGCTGTATCCCGCTTATGTTTAACTGTTCTGTAACAATATGAATTATATTAAACAGTTATATACCAATCTGTATATCTTTTAATTAGTTATAAAAGCATAGATCACACAGGTATCGCCTTATTAAAGGTGACTGTATGCATATAAACAAATTTGTAAAATCTTGTAAGCTTTAAACTTGTCATTCAGCTTGTGAAAATAGATGGAAAAATGAGTTCATCCAAGTGACTTGGACGACCCCTACAAGCATAAACTTCTAGAACAGAAAAATGAAATGGAATACATATCTTTCATATCTCTAGACCATTATTTAAAGTTGCAACCACTGCAGCACGGATGTTAGAGTACAGCTTCTTTTGACCCATGACAGACAAATGTACCCCATCTAATGCAAAGACCTGTGACTGCGCTTCTGGAGACCAAAATCCCTTTAAACGCCAGAAAGTGGCACGGCCATGGGGCAATGCTTGAATGTTCGTTGACAAGATGTAATTTGTCTCATCTACACGATTATTAAACCATGTTGTATCAACGTGATGATGTGTTGAATGCGAAGGCCGTCTGTGTAATATTTGGCAGCAGATCACCCTTTTCACGTTTCCCAAGAAAAGTAAACTGTCAATTAAGTCTAGTATTGCTGCGGAAACACTGACATGGTCAACATCCGGTTGACATAAATCATTTGTCCCAATCAAAAGTACAACAATATCTGGAGCGAAATCCGTAATGTCCGTAAAATTCCTCCGGAGTGTTTCCACCTTAGCTCCTGAATAACCCGAATATTGTACCAACGGGAGCGAAGTTAAGTTTAAGTTAAAATGAAGATGTGGTTCATTCCGTAGAAAAGATTTCAGACGGGAAACAAAGGAATGACCAAATATCTGGATCGATGCCGCCATATTGAATCAGGCACTGTTATATCACAAAGGCACTGTTATAACACAAAGCCTCAAAGGATGACGTCACTCGTTGTGCACAATGAAAATACAAACTCATCCAATTTCCTAAATTAGGAACATCCGTGTTGCAGCGATTTTATATGCAAAAGTTAAAGAAGGATGAATGTAACGTTTTACCGTTAACTTCCAGACAGAACAATGTGTGAAAACTTGTAAATTTAAAATTATAGCAGAGCAGATGTAGCGTGCTTTTCCCTTCTAAAATTTTTTCCAGAAAGGCCGATGCCGTTGATTGATTGGTTGTTAGAGAGCACGTGACGTTAAGGGTGCTCTCAGATTGGCCAATGCCAAATATACATTGAGAGTCAGTTTGATTTACTAGTTTAACCTACATTAAGAGTCTGTTTGATTTACTGAATGTTCAACAATGACATAAAATATTTTATCTATCTATAAAATACATATATATTATAACACATTTTTCAAAATACAATATAATTGGCAAATGATCATATAAACCATAATTTACAATTCTAAAATATTGTACATATAATATCAAATAATGATCTTGAAACAATAAATGCTATGTTTAAGGACAGCATTGGGTTTGTAACCTAGTAGCCGCTTGTTTGATCCTCGAACGAGACGAAATTTCTCCTTAACTATTGATCTCGAACTTTGCGACTAATGGTTATTTGTCTTTTAGCTCTGATTTAGAATTCATTAAGGATAAGTAATCGGTTTCTTACGCAGAAAAGGCGATTAAGTGGACCGACCACCTAGTGATGACAAAAATGTTTTAAAATCTACGTTTCAACCAACCAACCACTCACTCAACCAACCAACCAAACAAACAAACAAACGCGCTTTCATTTACCTTTTTATACCACTTTTAACATGTAAAGAAATCGTTATAAAATAGTTTCGTAAATTAAAAGTAAATGGCACTTTCTATTTATGTTATATGTAAAATAGCAGTTTTAGTGCGAATAAAATGTAATTTATTTAGGACTGCAAGCAAGAACTGGTTTGTCTATTCTGGTATCAACTTTCAAAGAAAATGTAAAGGATGACTAAAGAACGAAACCTAAGGCATTTTGTGGTTATATATTGCTAAATTATGTATATCTCAATCTCATTTTATGAAGATTAAATCATTTTTACGGGCATTTTATGGCTTTATATTTGATAAACTTACTCTAATTGTCTTTTTTAGCAAGACGGAGAAGGGAAAGTGTGTCATTTACAACAAAAAGTTGTTAATGATTAAACAATCATGACATATTCTTTTTATTTTATTCCCCTCATTGCACTTGTCTAAGTCCTTGTGATCGTTATATTCGAATGTCTTGAAAATGACATCTACCAGGATTTGAAAGTGTAAATCAGTTTTAATCAGATACGTAAAAGAATAAATATGGGAATATGGTTTTAATTCCAAACGTTTAGTGTTAATGATTGACTATCATTTGAGCCGGTGCTACAAGACTTAACAGATGTTGAATTTGACCTTACCTCTTATGAACATACTCCGTCAAATCGTGTCTGAGATATTCAACTATTTGCCTTGCTTTCATTTCTCTTCCTTTGACAGAATTTTATACGAATAACAGCAGATGCGATAGCTACAAAAATTGTTCTGGTCCTTCGGGATCTTTGATACAAATTCCATATGTGTTTAATTTTTGAATACATATTCGATCGATGCTTAGTGGCGTGAGAGATGCAGCATTTCGATTGATTGATTGATTTTCTTTAGACCTGGCGGTCAAGGATAACCTACGAAAGTGCAAGCACTTATTTCCAGTAGGGTCCTTACCTCAACAGACTCTAGAGACAGCTATGAGATACAAGGGAGTCCGGGAACCAGTCCCTAGCTCTTATTGAATAGATCCCTTGGTTCTTTTACATGCCCAGTGTAAAGCACTGATACATGCGAGGATTACCTGGGTTTCTTACCAGTAAACCTCTAGGTAGGTGGGAAACACTGAAAGTGTCTCTGAAAAATCCCAAGGGTGTTACCAAGGATCGAACCCGGAACCTCAGGAGTGACAGTCAGTGGTCTAACCATCTGAGCTATCGCGCCACCTTTTTCACATAACATATCATAGACAGACTGTATTATTGTGTTTAGTATTATTATCAGTAGAATTAGGGAGCAAGCCCCTATAAACCCAAGGAAAAATAGTGCAAAATGTTTAACATTAATTCCGTTAAATCAATGGGTGTAAGGTGAGGGGAAAATCTATAAATAGAAGGCGTTAGGGACCAGTTTTAAAATAGTGAGATTATAATTTGATAAAGTGTTGACAGAAGTACAATTTGAACAAATGTAGCGTGGTAGCTACTCTACATTTTGATCAACATATAATAATGTAAAAAATAAAATAAATAAACAGAACCTACCATTTAAACGAAATACTTGGTTTAATGATAACCGCCATATGAACACATCTGCGGATATTTCAAAATTGTACCAGTTCATGTTAAATGTTGAATTCTGCTTTCTGCTTAAGCCGGTGCTAGGGGGCGTGGACGGTAGTTTGCACTTGACAGTACCGTCCATGAACAGGCTCAATCAAACTGAGCCTGCAACATTTTCAATTTTGTCGTGTTGGGCTTTCTTTAGGGATTCTTATTTTCTCTATTTTAATGTATTAAGGTATTCTAAATCAGACATATTGCATAACATTTACACCAGAAGACGTAAAACTCGTATGATTCTCTGGTCTGAGAAATTACGCTAGATAAAAAAGTTAAAGTGAAGGGCATCAGATGGTGCAAATTATATATTATTTACAAAGAAAATATTTTATATTACTTCCTCTTAATTGATGTCATAGTCCTTGCATTTTAGACATTTTTGAATGATGAGCAATCTCGTTAGGATTTTTTTTCTAATATTTCCGTAGGTAGATCTATGTTTGTCCACATTTTATCGCCAGTCTAAAGCAAGCGCTGTAATACCGCAAAACGTCCGTACCGCAAAACGTACGTATATGGATGTTTTGCGGCGCATATCGTCCACATTTTTCTGACGTACACTTTGCGGCAAAAAGCATGGTCCTGCCGCATAACGTCCATATTTTAAAGTTTATATAATTTTCGTTAATTTTGACCAGTTATTATCAGGTGTTATTGTGTGTTAATTTTAGCTCACCTGAGTATCCGCCTGTCTGTCTGTCCAAATTTAGCTTGTTACCACTCTAGCAACCACATACTAGAGCTATATGTCCAGAGTTATCTGCCCTTGAATTACACTATCTGTTATATTTCACATTGTTACCACTCCAACGCTTTCATTTCTTCTTCAATCAACAGAATATCTATGACCATAAAATCTCAACAAAGTTAGATAATAGGCTAAATATAACAACAAAAAAACAACAACAAGACCTACCACTGAAGGTGATTAATACCCCCACCAGCAACTTTGACTTTGAAAAATAAGTGGTCTGAGGAAAAATTTGAACTCAACCTACAGTAAATAAAGTATCATCAGCACTGTGTACAAAGAATTATTTCAATTTACTGCAATCCCAACCAGGATCTTAATTTAAGCTTGCTACACACCAAGTTTGATTACATTATCTCATTCCTAACCCTAGTAATTGTTCGTAATCATTTTTCTATTTTTAGGTCCAAATGCAATACCAAGCGCGGTCTTCATGTAAGCTTGCTAAAAATCAAGTTTGATTACATTATCTCATTCCTAACTCTAGTAATTGTCCGGAAACCATTTTTCTATTTTTAGTAACGGTGACCTTGACCCGAGAGGGTCCAAATGCAATACAAACCGGGGTCTCCACATAAGCTTGCTATACACCAAGTTTGATTACAATATCTCATTCCTTACTCTAGTAATTGAAACCTTTTTTTCTATTTTTAGTAACAGTGACCTTGACCTCATGCCCCGTGTTCACAAAGAAAAGATCAGGATCAGGATCAAGTGATCCTGATTTTATTTTCATTGTTTTATGTCACTAAAATTTATTGTGTTTTGCTAGAATTAAATAGTAAATATTCAAAATGTAAAAAATTGCTGATTTGAACAGAAATCAAACTTTTTTGAGATAAAATTAACAAATAACAAAACAAATACAAAAATATTCGGATCAAAATAAGGATCAATCTTAGGATCAGGATCAATATTGGGATCAACTGGAAAATACCCGTATCTTGTAAAAATAACAATAAATTTATTCTAAAATTTCATTAATTTGCTATTGCAAGTCCAGTTCTATCAAATTAATATTAGATATTTAATCTATGAGGGTAAAAAAGGAAGAATATTAAGAGTTTTTAAATTTGATCCTGATCTTGATCCTGATCCTTAAATCTTTGTGAACACGGGGCCTGGGGATCCAAATGCAATACCAACCGCTATCTTCATGTAAGCTTGCTAGACACCAAGTTTGATTACAATATCTCATTCCTAACTTTAGTTATTGTCCGGAAACCATTTTTCTATTTTTAGTAACGGTGACCTAGTCCTTGGCCCCAGGGGGTCCAGATGCAATACCAACCGCTATCTTCATGTAAGCTTGCTATACACCAAGTTTGATCACAATATCTCATTCTTAACTTTAGTTATTGTCCGGAAACAATTTTTCTATTTTAAGTAATGGTGACCTTGACCCCAGGGAATCCAGATGCAATACCAACCGGGTTTCCACATAAGGTTGCTATATACCAAGTTTGATTACAATACCTCACTCCAAACTCTAGTCATCGTCCGGAAACCATGATGTGGACCGACCGACGGACCGGCCGACCAACCGACCGACAAGCTGACTCCTATATACCCTCCTAAACTTCGTTTGTGGGGGTATAACAACAAAAACGCACTATATTTCACCTTGTTAGTGCTTTCGCTTCTTCTCCATTCTTAAAATATTTTATACAGAATATGTATAACAATAAGGTCTACATAAAGTTCATTCAGGGCCTAAAACGACTGAATATGTCAAGAGTTATTTGCCTTAGAATAATAAAAATAAAGACATATTTTAAAGTCAAATTATTGAATTGTGATAAAACTGCCATTTCTTTGTTATCATTATCTATGATCAGATGTCATTCATACATTTATGACAGGACGGACATCTTAAATAGTTCAACTATAATATTGACCTTGAAATGACCTTGACCTCAAGGTCACTATTGAATTTTGCTTAAATTACCATATATTTGTCATTTACAGATATTTTGATATTGATGACCATTTCAGACGTAGAAATGAGGACTGGTATCAGTTACCCAGATTCTGACCAAGTACATGAAATGTACTTGCTTTTATTTGCAATATTCAATGCTATCTACCCTTGTCATGTGGAGCCTTCATAGGCAGATGGGCGATACAAGGCCACCATGACCTTTTTGCTTTGTTCAATGATAAAATTAAATTGTTCAATTATAAATTACATTATGGCATTCAAACAAAACGCTTACATTACGATAT